CCCGGCTCTGCCAGCCTTGCCGTGGGGCTCCGAGTGCTGTGGGGTGATGCGGGGTTGCGGTGCGGGGGGAGCAAATGAGGTGGGTGGTGAGCAGGGCTGCCCGGCAGCAGCGTGGCGGGAGTGGGCTCTGCACCACTGCAGCGTGGACTCTGGTTTGAAAGGGCTCCAGGCCCACGGCAAGCACAGCCCGGCCTTGGGAGCGGCATCGGCTGGGCAGGCGTGCCCCGGGCTGTGCCGCTGGCCCCGTCCGTCCATCTGTCCGGGTGCCCCAGAGCTCTGGTCTCCAGCGGGGGCTGCTCAGGGGCTCACCGCCTCCTTTCTTGCTGCTGCCCATGGATCCTAGCAGCCTGTGTCCATGGATCTTAGCAGCCTGTGCCCATGCCTGCAGGTGGACGCCATGGGGTGCCATTCCTTCGCGCTGCTCTTTGACGACATCGACCCCTGCATGTGCCAAGCTGACAGAGACGTCTTCCCCTCCCTGGCACAGGCTCAGGCCTCTGTGGCCAACGAGGTGTACCAGGAGCTGGGCCAACCCTCTGTCTTCCTCTTCTGCCCCACAGGTACCACCCACAGCCGTGCAGCCCCCCCACCCTGGGAGCCCAGTGCTTGGCCAGCCACGGCACCCACCCCACAGCAGACAAGGTGCCCTTCGGCGGGCTGCACCCAGCACCTCGGTCTGCTGAGAGCCGGCTGCCCTGGCAGCCTCCATGGCTCCCCCCAGCCCTCTCACGCTCCTGTGGTAGCCCTGGAGGTCCCAGGAGCAGGACAGGACCAGGCTGCGGATGGGCTGGCACTTCAGCAGCCGTGCACGCTGTGTTTCCTGCACCGCGCATCTCCCCAGCCCCTGTACGTCGATCCCGGGCAGCCTCCCCTCTCCCGGTTGCCCTGCTCCTCAGGGGATGCTCTGTGCTCTCTCCCCAGAGTACTGCAGCGCCCTGTGCTCCCCCAGCCCCAGCCAGTCCTGCTACCTGCGGACCCTCGGCCGGGAGCTGCTCCCGGGGATTGGCGTCATCTGGACGGGTGAGCGCCTGACGCGACTCTGCGGGGTGCGGGGTGCTGCGCAGCTTCTCAGCGAGAGCCAGCGCCGGCAAGCCCTGCGCCAGGGCTCTGTGCCAGGAGCGGCACCAGCAAGTGGCCTCTGATGGCGCCTTTCGGCATGGGGGCTCGCCGCCCTGGCGGGGCAGGCAGCGGGGCGCGCTGTGGGTCGCTCTCCTGCTGAGCAGGGAGGGTGGGGCGGGGCGGCTCGGCCCCCATCTCCGTGCTCAGAGCCCAGGTGTGTGCATGGCCCTGTGGTGAGCGTGCGCGAAGGACGGTGCTGCCGGCGTGCTCCATGCGCGTCCGTGCCACCATGCTCCAGGCCCAAAGGTGGTGTCACAGGAGCTCTCGGCCGCACTGCTGGAGGAGGTGGAGGGTGTCCTGCAGCGCCACCCCGTCATCTGGGACAACCTGTACGCCAATGACTATGACTGCAGACGTGTCTTCCTGGGCCCCTACACGGGACGTGCCGCGGGCCTCGTGCCCAGGCTCCACGGGCTGCTCCTCAACCCCAACTGTGAGCTCCAGGCCAACTTCATCCCCATACACACGCTGGGCAGCTGGCTTCGGAGCGAGCTGGAGAGCTGTGCCCACCCTGATCACGCAGGTACCTGGCCCCAGCGCCCCAGGCAGTGCGGTACGCCCCAAGCCGGCAACGAGCTTCTGCACCCAGGGCTGCCCATCTGTGCCACGGCCCTGCAGGCTTTTCGGCATGGCAGCCTGGGTGAGGTGTCTCACCTGGCTGGGCACCACCCAATATCCCAGGGCATGGGATCCATCCTGGGGGCATCCCGGGGCT